GCCTGGATGATGACTAATAAACTTACCCGGAATACAGTGGACCCCCGCCTTACGAACGCATCGCGTTACGTTAAATCCGGCATACGAAGCATTTGAAATAAAAAATTTTGCTTCGCCTCACGATAAAAAACTCGCCTTACATGATTCGTCCGGGACGTGTCCCAAGTGTGGCCTCAGTGCCAGTGTTTACAAGCCAGCCAGTGCAGTCGCATCTATGCATACATTCGGTACATTTCACATTATCCCAGTGTTTTTAGTGCTTGTAACTGCAAAATAAGTCACCATGGACCCCAAGAAAGCTTCTAGTGCCATCCCTGTGGTAAAAAGGGTGAGAATTAGTATGGAATTAAAAAAAAGAGATTAAGGAAATGTGTGCAAAGTGGGTTGAACTGCAAACTTTTACGGATGAAAATCACCCTGACACAGATACTGCAAGCCGTGTTGGCAATCTGTACAATGGCAATGTTATGGCCCATTTTAGGGAAATCTTAAAGGAACAGGAGGTACAGAGCTCTATGGACAGATCTGTTGTGCAGTAGAGGTCCGGTAACTCTCAAGCTGGTCCTAGTGGCATTAAAAGAAGAAGGGAAGTAACCCTGGAAAAGGACTTGCTACCTCAAGTCCTAATGGAAGGGGATTCCCCTTCTAAACAATAACTTCCACACTCTCCCCTCCTCCCATCCCACGAATCACCAGATCTTCAATAAAGTTAAGTGTCATGTATTCTGAGAAACCGGTCGTAAGTCGAAATGGTCGTAAGTCGAATTTTACTACTGAATATCAGCAAAACATTTTTGTAATGACTATTTTATTGTTTTATTTGGTATTTCATGTTTTACTTTACTTTTTATGCTGTTAGTACTGTATTTTATACTGTAAGGTTTAGGATAAACATTGTGTACAACACAAATAGTTGTTTATTTCCCAGAAATTTGGCATAAAAAACACGGTCGTAAGTCAAGTGGTCGTAAGTCGAGCAGGTCGTAAGTCGGATGGTAGGTGTACTCAGTACTCGCATACTCGATTATGTATTCCCATATCATAATTTCAACAATTACTTTGAACCTTTTATCCACTGTTGACAGTAATTTAATTGAATCATTGTTTTCACAAAAAGCATTTTTGAATATATGAATATATCTTTTGTCTTGTATAAATTAGATTCACTTATAATTAATAATCTACTGTACAACTATGATATAATTCTTAGTGTTAAATAGTCAGTAAGCCAATAAGGTTAATTCGACCCATAATGCCTAGGCATAATAGAGGCTCTCTTTGCATTGAAACCCATTATTGTAAATACATAATCTCAATGTACTACATATTTGCAAAGACATAAATAAATAAATAAATAAATAAAATAAATAAATGAACCATGCACGTTAGCCACCCCTAAGTCACTGTTTTACACCACCATTGCAATGTTTCTCATAATGCACTGCATGCTGCAGGATTTTTTTTTATATAGTGCACACTTACCACACATATGTAAGCCCAAATCTACCGGTCATAGCTTATCTGAGCGAGCTGAGCTCATGGCAAGTGACAATGGCTTCAAAGCCACCTTATCTTTTATGGATAATGTACAGTGTGTGTGTTTTACACAACAAGAAGCATTTCTTTTATTTGTTGGAACCATGGCTAGGGCTAAAAGTAAGCAGGTTATAACAATAAATGAAGAAGTTGGAATGACCTATGCAGCAAGTAGCACCACCAAACAGTAGCAGCAGGTTAGTGTGGCAACCCTGGAAATTTGAAATTATGCTAGCTGTAATTTGTGCTGGATTACTGATGGAACCGGATTACCGACTGCCAGATTAGTGATGGCTGACCTGTACTGTGCAAACTACATTTATAGAACAATCAATTCTAATACAAATCCTGACCTCAAGCGCTTTCTTGACAGTTGCAATAGACACAATACCAGACACAAAAGATCTCTATGACATTCCCTGTGTCAGGCTAAATCTTTTCAAGAACTCTGTACATAAAAGGACCCAAAATCTGGAACTCTCTGCCAGAAATCTCATCTAGCATTTTTAAAACTACAGTTAGAAAACACCTTATCTCCTAGCCCATCATAAATAAATATGTAAAAACCATACAAGTATTTTTTCAATATCATGAACCAAAGATAAAGATAAACTAGGCAAATTATTATTATTATAATCAAAAAGAAGCGCTAAGCCACAAGGACTATACAGCGCTGCAGGGCAGGAAGGAAGCGAGGGCATCAGGTGGCAAAAGGGAGATGGATGAGCAACAGGTTACGGATAAC